ACCCAATGGCATTTTCTTATGCTGATAGCAACATTGCAATGTATCTATATGGGCTGTGGCTTAGGCAGTACCGATGTGTCTACTGTGAGTAAATTTGGGTCCCCAGTATTTAGCCTGTTGGCAGTTATGGATTGTTTGAAGTCAAGTAAAATAGTTACCAATATTCCTTCTTACTAACATAACTCTGAGGCATCTCTCACCAACTTGACTTAGTGGTGAAATTTATTTTTAAAACTTGAGGGAGGTTCTTGTGTCTAATTGACTTTTAAAAAGCTGGGGATATATTTAGTGGTGTCTGAGACTGTGTGAGTGATATTCTTCCCCCTCATCAATCAGTAAACAGTTGAAAATACAAAATCTACTGTGATATGGAAAATTAAAAACCAAAAATTCCCCCAAACACCTCTGCTTTAGATGCATTGCCCTGGTATGCTTCTCCAGCTGAAAACTTAAGTTAATTAGAATCAGGCCCACTGAAGAGTCTTTAGTTGTTTTTTATTCATTGTAAACTAGTCTTAGTGAAGGAAACTTTAGCTGGTAGTAAGCAACAGTAATACCAATGAGCAGTATTTCAGTGAGTTAAATTTGAGTTACATTTTCTTAATGGAAGAAAGGTCAAATTATAATCTTTACTATATTTTTAGATGAAAAAGCTCACCCAAACAATGTGTTCAGTGATAATTAGGTTGCCTGAGTAGGAAATGGACTGACAAATATTTGCTTGATATGTGACTTAATGACTTCTGATGACTATGAGAGACTTACTGAGAAAAATGACTGGGATTTTACTTGTCTTTGCTCTTCTGACAGGGAACATATATGTTCTGTGGAACTTGAAGTTTGTATCTTGATTTATATTGTTCCTGTGGTTTGGTGTTTGGGTTTTTTTGTTGGTGGGTTTGTGTGTGTGTGTTGGTGGTGGGTTTTCTTTTTTCTTTTTGGTCTTTGTGTTTTGTTTTTGGTTTGTTTGTTTGCTTGGTTTTTTTTTTCTCTCCAAAGTACTGAAAAGCCAAGCAACCAGGACTTCCAGATACCTTTCACACTGGGCCTATTTAGTCATAGGGTATTTTATCTAGAACTTTTGCTATCCTGATTTCTTCCTCAGGAAGACAGAGGTTCGTCATCTTTGGTGGAGTTAGTGAGCCATAACTGCCATGGAATTTGCTGAACTTCAGATGTTCAGATGTTTCTTGGTTTAACACCTCATAATCTGTGTCCACAGAAAAGTCTTTGAGATTTTCTTGCAGTAATACATAAAGAACATTAATATTGAAGGTATATACACTATATATTTGTAAATTGTATTCCAGAAGTGGCATCTAAGGAGCATATCTCAAGAACAAAATGCTGTCAATGTATTCAGTTGCTAAAATCGTGCGTTGTAAGGTTTTTTTGGAGGTAGTAAGTTGAAAGATGAATCATGATTTGCAAAGCTCTATGGACTTCATAGTTTTGAACTGGTGACTGACTCTTGTGGACTCTTTATTACTCATCATAAATAATAAAACCCAAGTTCCTGTTGACAATAAACTAAATCTATTTCCCAGAATATTGCATATGGAACAACTCAGTTGTTTGTAGCTTTTCTGCAGAGAATGTGAGAAGTCCGTAGAGGTTTTGAACTGTGGAGATTTGTGATGCAGGAACAGTTAAGGATTGTTGATACCTATGTCAACATATTTATGAGGAATATGTTGATTTTACTCTAGTTTTCAAACTGATCTGCAGAATGCTACAGGACATGTTAAAGTAAAATTTGCCTGACTGCTCATATTATTGTGAGCTTCTAGGATTATTTTGGGATATGAACTGTGAGTTCTTATCTTGCAGACAATTCTGTGATTATAATAAAGATGTGTGCTTGTGGAAAAACATTCCCTCGGTTCCTACAACCACAAACAGGATATGAGAAATGAACCAAATGCTAGCCATCATTAATTATACTATGAAACAAATTCACTGAAAGAGCACTCTAGATATCCAGTCATAGACCTCAAATTAAGTCAAGATAAAAGGTGAAATTTGGGCCTAAGTAAACAAATAGTTTTTGCCAATGATTGGTGGGAAAAGTGTTTCTTGTGTTCTTTAATTTGTGTATATTTCTTTGAGGTTTTGTTGTACTGTCTTAACTTGTGTCTCACCTGCTCATTACCACTGAGTTAAGTGGTATGTGCCAAACACCTCTGACAGGTCAGTGATGTGTATGTGTGTTCTGAAGTGCGCACAGCAATAAGTCCTTTACATGGTGGTGATATTTGCCAGCAGCGTGATATGGAATGCTGCCTACTGCATCACACAGAACTGCTACCATCTGTTCACAAAGGTTTGCTGCGTTGAGGGGAGCACAAAATTGTATAATTTTCCTTAAGTTACAGCCTGTGGAAAAAACTTGCTTTCATTTTTTTTTTTCTTCTCTGAATATTTATTTTCTCTGAATCCAAATAATGTCTTTTATTTCTTTTTTAATATTTTGAAATTTCCTTGGATCTTATAAATTTGAGGCTTTAGCTATGTAAATCATATTTTCTTCTGTATCTGATCAGCAGTGATTTTGTGTGTGTGTGTGTGTGTGTGTGTGTGTGTTTTGCTTTGCTTTGCTTTTCCAGCAAATATGTAAACCCAGTAAAAGGTGTCATGACTAGCAGTCTGTTATGTGGATCGTACAGTATTTATTACATCCTAATAACAATGTACCCAAAAAGGGATCACTTAACAAAGATCTTGTAGTCATAGTTATCAAACAGTCTGTATTTTGATTTTTTTTTGAGTTAAGCAGATCAAATATACTAATCACAGTTGCTGCCATATTTGTTACTCATGGGTGTTTGCCATTATTTTTGGCCAAATAACTTATTTAAAAGGGTTTATTTTTAGTATTGACTGTGCAGCCCAACATACAACCAACACTGGGGTGGTCTGTAGAGGATCTAGGACTACCAGTGTTTAGTGTCAGATACTATATTGTCTAAAGGCAGCTGGTCTGAAGTACAAGTGTTTATTAAGAAGGCCAGCAAGCCTGAGTAGGACCATTCAGCATCTTTGACTATTTTCCTATCTGCAAATAGCCATTTGGACACCAGCTGTGCTCTATTACTGAACTTTACTGAACAATATGATATAAGGCATAGGGGATCTGTAAGCAGATCCCAACACCTCCTTGTGCCTCATTAATCTGTTCTGGAGTCATAAGCTTTCACTTAGCTAAAGAATGCTAGTGTTTTGCTGGTGATGATTTCAATAGTTGCTACCTCTTACCTTCTGTCTCTCCTCTTTGGGAATCTCTGGAGCAGGAGACATCCAGGCTGAATGTCTGTTTTTCAACTGGTTTTTACCAGTAGCATCACAGTACACCTTGCCAGTGGATTATGTCAACCTTGACTGTTGCCTGCTTTGTATCAGAGAGCCAAAATAACTCAGACAGGCTTGAGAGCAGCCAAGTGCTTATTCTTGAACTGAGCCTAGTGCCAGCACAAAGATTAATTATTCCCATTAAATCTTGGTCCTAAATCAGTAAATAAAACTGAAAAGGAGAGATGCCTAGGATAGATGGTTCAGCATTGCAAATGCCTGGATTATTTGGTTCTGCCACGATCAAGAAATGTACTAGCTATAAATCAGCTGTTTTGTAATCTAACTGTATAATATTTTATTATGGTTTATACAGTTTAATTTGATGTTTGGTTGCTTAGACCTCTAGTACAAGTGCAAATGCTCCATCTGTGCAGTTGTACTAATGAAGTAAAGAACTCGGAATAATTTTTAGTGCTGGCTGTTGACTGGAATGCCTGTTCTGAAGAAAACTCTGAAACATTTTATTGAAAAATATAAAGTGGAACAACTATGAAGGAGGAATAAAACAAAAAAAAAAAGAAATGTGGGGTGGTTTTGTCTTGTTTTGTTTCTTTTTTTTTTAAATTTATTTTATTTTTTTCCCTCTCCCCTCGCTACCCCCGCCCCCAAGGTGGGTAACTTGGGAAACCTGGAAGCTTTTTCTTTCCAGTTCCAACTGCAGAGAATGAAAGTGTCTCTTATATATATATATTTATTTTTTTTTTCTTCCTGATGGGGAAGAGATGAGTGGATTTATGTGTTTGGCTACATAGAGCCCAAAGGCCTAAGGGAATTATCCTGCTATATGTACTTCTGTTAGGTCATTTTACAATCATGTTGACAAAACCATACAATTTTTATTTTGGTGGTAAGACATAATCAATACATATAAATTGCCAATGTGTCTAAAAAATATATACAATATGGGTCCATTTTGTCCCAAGACTTTGGTCTCTTGGCTCCTTCAGCTTCCAAGGCACAGAGCGGTTGAATGTTGTTGGCTTTTTCTCTTGCTTCCAGATGAAAAAAAATTGAACAGATGGTAGTGGGAGAAAAAATGACAAGCCAGTGCAGACAGTGTGATTAATTTATTGGGGGCTTAAGTGTTGTTTTTATTTTTGTGGGGTTTTGTTTGGTGTTGATTTTAATTTGGGAGGGTAGTGCGCATACTACAGAAAAGGCAGCAAAAATATACAGGTATGTATTGAGCATTGTTACCCATGCCTCAAAAATTTCTTCAGTTGCTGGAGGAAGATGTAGTGGGAAAGGAGCTAGTCTGTGCTACTATGTTTAGAAAGGGTTGCACCCAGCAGGTAACATTTCAGTGTTTCAGAACTCTGCCAGATGGTGTTAGCTGTGATAAAGTTCTGTGATTCATTTCGTAAAGTGTTTGTTGTGGCAGATGAAGAGCTTCAGACTTGTAGGTCCAGCCAATGGTAGAAATCACCGTTGGTCTCACCAGATGTGATGCTGGATATAAAGGAAACTTCTCATGATGCTACTTTTAAACCTGGTTTCTTTCTTCAGTGAGATGCAATTGTAAATTGTTTTTGCTTGCAGCTCCATCTGAGGGTTCAGCAGACCTTAAATTTGCTATTTCAAAACTCTAAGACAGCTACTCAGAAATGTAAAAAAACTTTACTGAATTTTCCTTTGCCTTGTGTTTACAGTAACTGATCAAAGGAGAAATGAGTTTTCACTTAGATTAAATTCTCTCCTCCCCACTTTCGAACAAGAAGTAGGAAGATTAGCCCAGGAATGGGGTTTCTAGTAGAACAAAAGGAAAAAAAGGGGTGGGGGAAGGCTGGAACAACATTATTTAAATAACTCTCTGGGGACAAGAACTGCAAGGTAGCATTCTGATGATCTACACTAGCAAAAAAGCCCTCCAAAACCTTTGTATAGCTGCTTGTCAGTTTGCTGTTCAGAAATATATACTATTCATTTCCAAGTTTAGTGTCTCAAAGTTCAAATCTGGCCCTCCTTGCTGGTAATTACTAAGCTGCAATCCTGCGAAGTAGGTCATAATAATCTCCTGAGGAATAATCTGGTAGCTGCATTGGGGAAAATGACTAAGCATCCTCAAAGGCAACATAACATAACATGTTATGTTACAGGAAGGGCACATACTGACAGAATGGATATATAGAGAAACACCACAGAAGCCTTTTAGTTTTCTTATAAGCTTTTGTAAGTTAAAGAAAATATCTAGGTTACAGATAGTTGCAAATGAACTCCCCTCCCACCTGTAAAACTGAGAAAGCATGAAACCCATGGAACATCCAAAGCTATTTCAATTTACATAGTCAGAATCATCTATTCAGGAATAGGGCTTCATGTCTCAAGAAGTGATTATGGAATAATTCTACCTTCCTCAGTCTCAAGAGACAAGATATTCAACTTTAATAGTGCAAGTCAGGCTTTTAGCTGTGATGGGGTGGTTTTTGTGTTTGTGGGGTTTTTTTGTTTGTTTGTTTTGGGTTTTTTTTGTATTTGCTTTTTGTTTTATTTGGTGTGTTTTGTTTTGTTTTGCCAGAAGTGTCTGTGTTTTTCTATTGTGCAATTGACAAATGCCAGAGAATTTATGAAGGACGTTTTCTGATCTCAGAATATTTTTATTGATACTGTAATAAAGACAAGTGTATTTAAAAAGAGCCTGTGCCAAAGAGATACTTTGGACCTTAACTGATACAAACCAGCATTGCTTTGCTGTATTTAACAGATCTGTATCCGCTGACATCATTTCAGGATCCTCCTCAATCTCATTGCAATACCTTTCTGCAATGCATTTATGTATCTTCCTTGCAATAAAACCAGAAAATATGCACTTTATTATCTAACGAGAAAGTATGGCGACAAATAGCAAGATAACATTGCTAGCTTGTTTGTGCTGTATTTTGACCAGATTGTTTCTGTTCATGTCATTTTGTCAGGCTTCTTGGAATGATGCACGCTGAATACTTAAGCTGCATAGCACTGGAGAAAGGAAACCAGTAACATATGTATATTGTGTACATACATGTTACATATGATTTGCATGTTAAATATCTGGTGTTAAAAGGGAAACAAGCATACTATCTTCTGCCAGTCAGCATACAGTTTTCACAAAGGGAAGCCTTCACTGAGTGGGACATGATGAGTTTGGGATGATGTGTGAAAGAAATGCAACCACTGGTGATGGTATAAAACTTCAGTGAGATGTACTCTTATTAGCATAACCCCTCTTTATATTCCTTAAGCTTAGTGTTTCCTAGCAAGATAGTATAATAGTAATAGAAAGCTTACTCTTTTTGAATAAGCAATTTTTGAGGAAATGGGTAATGCTCTACTTTTTATAAAGGATAAATGTGTTCTCAGTACTTTGAGATTTAAAATTATGTTTTTTATAGCTGATCCTTCCCATTGAAAAGAATCAGAACAACAACTTGGGTATTTCACTTAGAAAACTGTATGTTAAGTATTGTTATACTGAATACCTAAACAATATCTTACAGTGAAAACAAAAAGGTTAATTTTGTCCTGAATGATTTATTGTATGTACATCTTTTGTGAAGTGATTAAAGCTGACAACTCGGCAACTGCTTTTGCTAAACCTGATGAAAGAAAATAGTTTTCATTAATTTGCTTTATTGAGGCTAAAATAGAGCATTGCTTGTGGAAAGTTAATTTACTTGCAGAAAAAAAAAAAGGTATATAGCATTCTCACCTCTAAACCTCACTTACAGATCAACCATACAGACATAAAAAGCACACTGAAAAGTTCTTGTCAAAGCTGTATTTTATTATCGGTAAAAGATTATAGCAAAGGAGCTGTTGATTTTTAGCATAGGAGCATATTGGCTCTTTTGTTCTCTTTGGCATCAACTGATTAGCTTGGTTTGTTCTTAGAACGATTGCATAGAAACAGTTGCTTTCATGTATTGTTGCTCTATACCAGGATATCCTTGCTTGCTAAATTGGATGCTATGCAGTCAGAGTTGAGTCAGAAATAGTATTGATTCTTGGTAAAACACACGGGCCTCCTGAGATTCTGTACTGTCATTTATTCATCTGCTTAAAATTAATGTGGTCCTAAATATGTAGGTATTTTATGGAGACTTGAGAATTACCAAAGCATGTGGAAATATTCCCATCAGAAAACACAAGTCAAATGCAGTAGCTTACTCCCTTTTCGTAGAGCATTAGTGACACCCTGTGGTGATATTGCTTTTTTCCCTTACAAACACCGGAGCTCTGAGAACCTATAGGAAAACTGTTTGAGATCCATGTCCCTGTGTTAGGTATGTATTTTCCTCGCACTTTAGTTTCACAAATTTGAATAAACTTAAGTAAAGATATTAAAGGGGAAAAAAAAGCACTTAAAACTAGCTTTGAAATGGTTCTCACTTTATCACTGCCTTAATGACAATGGGGAAAGTTTTCTGTGCTTCCTTACACCCCCCCCCCCCCCCTTTTCTTCCCTCCACATTTTTAAAATGGTACACTGCAACATTTTATTTACTTTTCTCTTCCAGTGGTTTAAGTAACTCTACAGAAAACTGGATTTACTATTTTACAATACTGTCATCCCCCTTTTGTACCCCGCTTGTTTTGCTAGGATTTGATTTGTTGTTTTGCAAATAGATTTAATAAGTGATGAATGTTGGCAAGGTATTTTGAGATTATGGGTCCACTGTTTCCTATCCAGAAGCAAAATTTGCTGTTGAAGTCACTGAGAGTTTTGTCCTAGTAAATTCCTTGGGATTAATTTTTTTTCTGTTGTTGTTGTTCAACCTGTAGTGAGAGGTCTTAGTGTTTGTCTAAATACTCAGGCTTGGAAATAAGCCTTCTAAATATGGGTGGTCCCCAAGGTATGATTCTAGCAGAGGATATGAAAAGGTCGGGCAGCAAGACTTCATACCTCAGTGACATACACAGGTGATATGCTCTTACTAGTACCTTTCTGGGCTTTAGAAAGTTGCAGTAAGAAAGGAAAAGAAGACTTGAGAGAGATGGGGGTGGAGAAGATAACTTAATGCATATAGAACCTTAGGTTATGAACCTGTCTGTGTTCAACTAGGGGATGATGTAAACTTCAAGCTTCGTGAGGAAGATCTGGGTGCAATTTCTTACTTTTACATGTACTTGGACAAGTCATATAGTTCTAAATACATCTTCTTCTTTACAGTGGTGATATTGGTGTTTTCTTCTTCTTGAGAAGAGATATATGCACAAGATTAGTGATAGTATTTTTTTTTTTATGGGAGCCAGGGCAGTGCAGTATGCAGGTGCAGAAAGCCTCTTGGCATTGACTGTAACCAGGGTAAAATCCTACTTTCTTCAAAGGCAAGCATCATTTACCAAGCACGTTAAACCCAGCAGCTTCTTCTGTTTCCATTTTAGAACGTAAGCTGAGCTAGCATGATTAATGACCTTACTTCACTGTCATTGCCTTTGCATGAATTTGTTCAAAACTTCTATACCTTTTATTTCATAAAATGGAACATGGGTATGTTTCTTGCCTGGTAGCATGCTCATCCTTTTTCTGAAGGTGCTAAGGGTAATTAGAGATCATGGCTGCACTTCTTAAGCATCTGTATCACAAGAGATGATGCTGTTGTGAAGGTTCTGGTTTGGGTCTTGCAATGAGCAGCAAAAGGAACTGACTCTAAACCTGAAAACAGTCACTCAGCACTCAAAGTTTCTCTTGAGCACGTTGTATCTACAGCCTTTACTGGCTAGTAATTCCAATACACACAATATTTCTGTGTAATATTGATCAATTTAGAACAGCTGATATTTCCATTCAGGGTGGCTAGTACTCTGCTTTATGATTGCAGAGGAGAATCCATGAAATTGAAATGAGACCAGTGGTGGAATTGATTTTCTTGTATCTGTCTTTCTTTATCAAGACTTGAGCTGAAATATTAAAATATAATGTTGGGATTTTTCAGATGCATGCATTTAACTACAGAATATATTCATCATATCTCCCAGAGAAATGAATAATACCATGAGGAGCTATTTAATCATGAGCATGGAGATTGCCCTGCAGATTGCTGTGCTCTGACAGTGCCAGTCAAGATGGAATAAGAAAAATTATGCTGGGAAACAAGGAGTCAGGTTCATAGTTACTTAAAAACCAGTAAACATAGTCTGTACTTTCTTAACAAGAAAGAAATACTTACAGAGGGAAGCAACAACATCTGTTCTTATTAACTAAATTGAACAATACAAAATTGGAAGTATGATTTATAGTTCTTTGTGTAATATGTCTCATGTTATCAATACTGGGAGACACTCTTGCTGAGGAGACTGGAATTAAGAATATTCTGATGAAGACTGAGTCACTTAACTCTCTTTCGTATTTAAAGTACTGAGCATATATTCAGTTAGGCTATGAAGCTTGGTAGGCAGTCACAGTCAGCCAGCTCCAAACCTCTAAATAAACTCATTATCTTAAACCTAATCTGTGTTTTAGTGGTTCTTCTTTGTGTAGTTGCATAATGTATTTTGTTTTGCTGCTGGATAAAGCTCAGCTGGTATCAGCTGAACTTGGGAAGGTGTGACGTATATCGTGTATATGTGTTCCAGTGTGACAGCATTAACATAGTTGTGATGAAGCATGTTTCTTTCACATAGATGTGCCCTTAAGCTACTAGCCTTTAGCTTATAGATGTGAAGACTCCTATGCACAGCAGGAATTTTAGTGGAAGAGATAGTGCCTTGTGGAGCCTGCTTAAAGACAAGAGACAAGTGAATGGAAGAAGATCAAGTGAGAGATCAAGTGTAACAGCATGCCTGCACGCCTCACCAAGATGAAGCAGCGATGCTTCACAGTGACAGCTATAGGACTTTTGTTGTTCAGTGTGACATTTGAGTGTTACAAAGACAGTCTGTGTTCTGATTGTCTACAAATCCCATTTGCTTTAGTGACAGGTTTTCCAAGGAAGGACTTTATAATTGACATATCTGCCTGCTGTTGTTCACTTGACATCATCAAAAGACCATGGTGATGTCTAGAGTAATGAACTGAAGGCCCACCAGTTTTATGGGCTTAACTGTTTTTGCCTTATTCAGCAGTTGAGTCTAGATATGTACTGAGAGAGTATAGATACAAGGCCAAGTTTGGATGGGAGCACAGGTAGCATGCAGCTATTGCCATTAATGAAATTACATGGTTTGCTCTGGCTGATTGTATGCACTTTGTAAGTTCAAGTCAGATTTTAATCTCTTTAAATAAGCACCTTTACAAATCATGGCTGATAAAAAAGTTCTATAAACTGACATGGGAATTTCTTCTGCTTTTGCATGGAAAAGCGTACAGCTGAGGGGGTGGATCTAGAATTCTTGATTAGGCTCAGCTTTTTAGAAGAATGGAGCATAGATAGGATAGACTTTAAGAGACAATCTGCACCCACAAGAGCTAGTGGTAAGAAATGCAGGAACATCCATGTGAGGAGGAACAACTGCTAGGAGCTGTAGGCATGTTCAACAACACCTCTGCAATAGCCACTTTCTCTTTAATATAGTACCATATCTGAGTGGCACGGTCTGAATATAAGGAGGTTATCGGTTATTTTGAGAATTTACTAGACTGTACCAAAATTGTAAGTCTTAAATGAACACTCAGAACATAGTGGGGTTTTTTTGTTTGTTTTTGTTTTTTGTTCTTTTGTGCCTTGTAATTTAATTTGTTTTACAAATCAGACACCAGCCAATAGACATGAGGTTGGTACCAAGGATCCAGTTTTCAAAGAGTGGTATCTTTCTGCTGAGAAGTGTTTACAGTTTCTTGGCACTAGTAGGCAGATAAGGGAAATGGTTGAGGCAGTGTGGTGTTTGTGGAGGTTTTTTTGTTAGGTAGTTTTTCCAAACTGTTCACTTTTTCATAGAGGGAGGGTTTCAAAAATTGCCATACCAGGGTATACATTTCAAAACGTGTAAGAAATAAGATGTGTAAATAGAATATGTGGAGTCATTCTGATGGGTTGGGGTGAACAAAACAGTGTTTTCAAGCTGTTTGAATTTTACGCAGCTGTTTGGTTTGATCTTGAAGAGGGCATTCCATTTTGTTATTCCTGTTTTTGGATATAGGAGCTTCCAGTCCTTATTGTAGGAAGGAAAAACACATGTGCATGGAAATTGGATTGGTTACCTTGTATTTGAAACTATTTTTCCTGGGTTTTTTTTCTGAATTCAAAAGAATAAATCATAGTACTGAGGGGCAGATTAAGTAAGATACATCACAATAAAAGGGGAAGAATGACAAATACAGTTCTTGATCAACCTGTTAGCTCACTTGTATTCATGCAAATATTTATTATTCCCAGTTCATATTTGCTCAAATTAATAATTTTCAACATGAACAATTCTGGAAAAGAAAAATGGGCTCAACTTAGCAACGTATTTATTTACTACAAATACTAGTAGGCTTAAATTCAGATGAATAGAAAAATAGAAAACATAACAGTTCACTGCCAGAGACTGCTGCAGTATCTCGTTACATTTAATATGTATTTCTCATTGTTAGGTTATAAAATTACAGGTTTATGTATACTTAAGAAATACTAACACTTATAAAACACAGCATTAAATTGAAGCTAAATGTGCCTGTGATAAAACTAAAAATCAGCCTTAGGAGTTAGAGGTGAAGTAGTCCTTAGAAAAATTTAAAAATTCCCAAACTGTTGATGCATACACAATCTCCCACTGGAGTTAATAATTATGCAGTGAGCCCTGCTGCTGGTTCTGAGTTCCTTCTGTGCATGATATGAAAAAAAGGACAAAACCACAACAAAACGAGATTTAAACATGCATAGTCAGATTTACCCAGCATGAGAGTAGGAGCTGAGTGCACAAGTACTTTTATGGAGGGAAAAAAAAAAGCTCCAGATTAAAAAATGTAGCCTCGAAAGCAAAATGACGATGCTTGCAATTGAGGTAACATTTATACATATTCTGAAATTAAATAATATAGTTGGCAAATAGTTTGTCTTTTAAGTATTTACTGAAACTGTTGAAAAGCACCTATCAACAGGACAAAATCCATTAATGTGACGTATCTCATCGCACGTTCTAACACATTTTACAATGGTGTCAGGAAAAAGCTCAGCAACTTCTTTATATTGGAGCTTGATCCAAAGCCTATTTAAATTAGAAAGATTTATTAGTCATTTGGTAAGACTGTCTTTTATACCTTAATTTCTGGCATAACCCCAGAAATTAAAAGTCTAAAACTACTGTTTTATGAAAGCTGTAATTGAAATACAGTATTTGAATAGCATATTACTTATTTGAATGGAAGGGCTGCCAATATAATATTCTCTTGAAAATAATCATACCTGTAATAAATAGAGTGTTTATACAGCTTTGCTAAATGGATTGAACTGCTAACAACTCATGGTTATTTTAAGTAATTCAAAAACGGCTCCTTGGGGAAAAGAGCCTAAGTCAAAGGAGACCATCTCTTCTTTTTTGTTTGTCCCCTGGCCTTGCTTTAATGTAAAATCCTTTAAGAAGAGATCATCTACAGAAAATGTTCCGTTACTACTTGGGAGAAGATTTGTGCTATTTATGTAATTTGAAAAAGATTGCTTTGAAGGAAAAGACACAGCAAATTGTATGGTTTTTTTGGTTTTGTTTTTTTTTTTTTTTTAATATATATCATGAAACTTTGGAGCAATGTATGGAAACAAGTTATTGTAAAAAAGCAAATCTGAAGTAAGGAAGTATTGTCTTGTTTTATTTTTTTTTTAAGTGCTGTACATCATACATTTAAGTGCTGTACATCAAAAGACATTCCATGAAGAAAAAGCTTGATGAAAGTTCTTGTGTGTTCAGTTCTTGCTGTAATAAGACAGTGCAGAAGTGAAAAGAATCTTGATGCTTTTGACAGTCTCAAGAGAAGCTTGAGGCATAGCATAGGATAAATTTGAAAGCTTCTGGATTGTTACTTCAGGTCCAGCTTAACCCACAAGATCTGGATGGTACAGAATCCCAGTCATCCTTGATGCTCCTTTTCCATTCCCCTCCTTGCCAGTGCTTATGCTGTGCCTTCACACATTTAGGTGATCATTTCCTTGCTGATTAATGTTGCAGAAATGAGTCATCTTCATTTGAAGAGGTGGCTTTTTTTTTTTTCCCCTTGTGTAAATTTAGGTCATTGTAGCTGACAGCCATAGTCAGCATAGGTAGTTATTGGGACATGCAGGAAAAGATTCGAGCAGCTGTGTTTCCCAGGTGCTGTTTTAAGTATTTTTTTGTTGTTGTTTTTCTTGGGTTTATGTGCATTGGTCAAAGATCTATGGCAGCCTAATGCATGCTGTCAAAGCACTTAAAATGTTTAATGAGTTTTGATTCCTGGCGCAATACCTTACTTGAATGAAACTGTGGTGATGTCATTTGAAAAAGGAGACTGCCCTGAAGAGCAGCTATAACAATATATCACATTTTAAAGTGGCAGAAAAATACTGGTTGCTCTTTGTTTGAAAACCGTAAAATTCTACCCCCCCAAATGCTGCAGAGAAATCTGCCACCTGGGGTTTGCTCTGAGACAGCTCGGCGGAGATATCCCCTACTCTGAGGTTTCCTTTTGTTATTATTGATTGTGCAGCTGTGTGTGAAACTTGCAGGGTGATTTGTTTCCTGTTCCTCTCTGGGTTGGTTTCCTTTGCATATTTCTGTGGATATTATCTCAATTTTCAGATTTTCTGCATTATTTTTTAATGTTCCCTTACCTATTTCTCCTGAGTTGGATGAATCTCTGGAAACCTTTTCATTTGTTGTTGTTTCTTATTTTCCAGTCACTCATCATATATGTCCAAAATCCGTCAGTTGAAACTCATTGTTAAGAGCCCCTGCCTGGACTGAAATAGTAATAATTCCAAAGGTGCTAACATTCTTTGTTGTTCACAGGGACGACTTCTGGTATTGTTCTGGGTGGAGCTTGTTTGCCAGAAGGCAGTCTTCAGCACAGCTTCCCATGCGTGCCTTGTGTGGGTCAGTCACTTGCAAAGGAAAGCAATAAGTTCAAGCACGTTTTAAAATGTAACTTTGCAGTGTTTAATGGTTATTGCTAGACAAGATTTTTACTTTAAGGCTTTTGGTGCATAGATCAGCTGGCTTAAGTTGAACAGGTTCACTATCCTAATTACTAGTTAGCATTCATCTGAAGGGTCATGGTAGTCTGTGATAGAAAACTGTGAATGTGTCAGCAGGAGCCAAGACATCGACATGTGG